CTCTCTCTCTCTCTCTCTCTCTCTCTCTCGCTCTCGCTCTCTTTCTCATTAAATAGTCACAATCGCTAACGAGACTGACATATATAAAGTTTATATATAATTTTGGGATTAATTTACAAAAATAAAATTTCTTTAACTTGAAGAGAGATTTTTGCCATTAAAATGAAAAACTAAACAATATTATACTCATAAGTATTTTGTTTTGTATATTCTCCTGTCTTTCAATTAATGGCTCATCTCTTGACTTACATTTAAAAATTCTTTATATCTTAAGAATTAATACCAATTCTTCTTAAATCCATGAAAACAAGACTTATAGACAGAAAAACTCATTGTTTTTACTTTCCCTTAAGTATTAGCAAAAAAGGTTTAATTTTTAAAACTTTTTAATGCTTTTCAATTTAAAAACTTTATCTCAAATAAAAATATTGAACACAACATTTCTTGATATTAATTATCCATTACTTTGTGTCTCTTTGCTTATGTCACTAACACAGGAGAGGACGACGACATGGCCTATAGGTATGTTTGCTATTAATTTACCATATAATGAGCTTTTATTGCTATATACATCAGGAGGTGGGGTAGTAGTGGACAGTTGGGCGGGGTGAATTTGAATTCAATATTTAACAATTACATATAAAATGTAAATAATAAATTATATTATTTTAGTAATTCATTACAAAAACACTTAAACTAATGGCACTTTCAACCCGTCAAAGTAATAGACAATATTATGACATGAATTGTTTGTGATGGGTGAAATAGTGATTAATTATAAATTGTTCATGTTGACAATACCCTCATTCAATGTTTGTTTTGTTTATTATTATTGACACAATCTATGCCTTATATTAGGTTAAAGTTTCATAACCTGCATATTATACGACCGCCCGAATCGATTGGCAGGTACACAATGATCAAGCACAATCACCGACCCGAGTCGCCCAACAATGTTAGGTAAAGTGTATTGTTTTATTGCTGCCTTATTTATTGTGCCATATATTGTCCCTGATTTGTTCAGTCATGCATAAGCCTATGGCCTAATGCTTTATCCATTTGCGGAAACCCTTTTAATACATACTATTGTTATTTTTCTCTATCATCTCCTTATCGCTTGTCTTCACACACATTGAGAAATCTGTGGCAATAAAATCGTGAACAGAATATTCTATGTGTGTGTGACATGTCATCACCCGATTTACTTTCTCTCTCTCTCTCTCTCTCACTCTCTCTCTCTCTCTCTCTCTGCCCTAACATTAACCCTAATCTTACATATATTGTGTGTGCATTGTATTCAAAACGAGTGCTTATATATGTGTCTCATTGTATTTTTTTGTGATCCCTTTTCCGCGCCAATAGGTCTGCATTACTCCGTATGGCTAAAAGGCGAGCATTTCGTGATGGACTCGGATCTGTTAGGTATGGCATCCCTTGTATTCATTACACAAACCATTAGATTGTATGACAAAAGTAGTGGAAGAAGAAGAGGAAAATTGTTGAATAAGAGAGAGAGAGAGAGAGAGGACAAATTCTTGTAAGACATCTGATATTTCATTGAATATATTGTGTGTATATTTGTGATGAAAACTCCTAATAATGTGTATATATTTTTATGTGTATTTTTCTCTATCTCTTCATTTGTTTTGTTTTGTTATTACTTTATTGTCGGGAGTTATGTATCAAATGAATTGCCGACTGCTGTGGGGCTGAAGGCATACAAATACGTATATATGTTATGTGTAATGTTTCAACAAATACTATATCTGTAATTGTCTTAAAGCATGAAAATAATATTTGCTTTTTATATATTGTTTATATCACTCATTATATCGGATGAGGAAAGGGATGACATTCAAAGGCTGGGCTCAAAGTTACTGTTCATTGGTATTAACGCCTAAATCCCTACATCTCTCTATGCGTTGAAATGTCTTTTTGCGAGATTTGTAATAAACAAAAAGTGCAAAAATAATAAAAATAATTGTAAAATATAATGAAAACAATTCACAGACAGAACTGACAAAAAACAAAACAAAACTAAATCCCAAAAATAAATACGAGAGCACAGCATGTGTTTGAGAGGACATGCATTTGGATAAGGGGTTGACGTCTACTGTAGGCCTCTATCGCTGAGAGAAAAACGGATTTTCATGTAAAATAATGTGTTTTGTGCCAAAATGTTAAGTGATATTTATATATAGAGTTTTATATGGAAAATATATATAAATACAAAGACAAACAGAGAGTGATTTGAATGCGTTATAATGGATAAGAAAGTCTCAAATAATAAGAAACGAAATGCAAACACAAATTGAGAGACAGATTTTTTGGTGTGTCATTTTGTTGAAAAACATTTCAAAATGTTGATTCAAAATAACAATTACGCCGACAATACATACCTGGATAGGGAAGCCTATAAGTGGGAGAAATAAACAAATAAAAACAATATTAGTTAAATTTACGTTAATAATATATGTATGCGTTTATAACTATTACATAATATTAAGTAAACTTTATATATAAATTAAATTTTAAAAATTACACTTTGCTCTAGTTTTGTATGCTGTTTACACTATTTGTTTAAATTACTACTTTTTTGTCACAAAAAAGTTAAAACTAATGTAAATAAATAGTTATTCGTATAAAAAAGTTTATATCAATAAACAATACGTGACTTATATTTCTTCTCGTTTGGAGAAGTGTTTCTCGAAATTAGTTTTTTGTATGAATTCTTGGTATATAACGAGAGAGAGAGAGAGAGAGAGAGAGAGAGAGAGAGAGATTTAAAGTTTTTACAATAGAAAAATTTTTATTATCAAAATAATAGGTTGTGTTCAACATTCATATGCAGTCTTGAGATTCACTTTTGAATTTTTTGATCCATTTTTTGATCCATTTTTTGCACTCCTTTTCTTGTGATGCAAACACTTGAGAGGAAAGGACGAGAAGAAGAAATATATATTCAATTCGTCGGAAAGAGAAAATTCATTTTTATTTTACGCACAAAAACTGTTTTTTCTGTATTATTTATTTTGAGTATAAAAACGTGTGAATTGTTTGGCGAAACAGTTTTTTTTCAGCGCTCGCAAAATAACCTAAAATTTTATATATGGGTTATATATAGGAGTGAAATATTTTATATGTGTGTTTGAAATGTGTTTTCTCTGTGTATGAAATGTTTTTATTCCCTTTAACTCCGAGACAAATACTGATATATTTTATGTGAATTATTCAACATTTTATTACTGTCTCACACAATGCCAGACACCGTTTGGACGGCCAATGCTTTTATATATTTTTTTAAAGTTAGTTTTCAAATGATATTTTATACAGGAATTTATTTATAAGTTTAATTATATATCTCTATTTATATCAAGGTGCTTTGAAATGACCATTAATTAGTATTGAGATTACTATTATACTGTAGTACTTATTATTTACTTATAAAGATTATATAAAAATTTGTTTAACTATAATAATTGTTATGTTTAATAGCAATAAAGGGGTTTCGGACTACTTTTACCAAATCTTTAACAAATAATCCCTAAATATTCAGTAATATTAGTATGAATTTAGTGTATATATTGGGAAAGAGGAAACTAATGTCAATATATTGAGGGATAAGATATGATGGGAATGAGAGAGAGAGAGAGAGAGAGAGAGAGAGAGATTTATAATAAAATGCATTGAATATGTAAAATACTTTGAATAATTTATTCATTGCTCATGTGATGTATTCCATAATATGTGGTATAAAATTCACTTNCTCAGAGTTAAGCCTGTAGTACATCGCATGCCTGACGGGAGAGATATAAAAGTAAAATATATAATCAATACCGATGTTTAGTCTAGTCTATTGAATACAATTCATAAACATAATACAGCATAATATTCAGGTATTATATTCTGCAGCGAATGATATAACGTATACAACAAACACAAGTATATTAAATATAACTTATCAGTGAAAGTTTATGTGTCTGTATATTATAACTTTTCCATGTCTCACATCAAGCATACAAACAATTAGTATATGTTATATAAATTGGAAATTTTACTTTTATTTGAGCATATTTATAAGTTATGCATTACTTATTAATAAGAAACAAGTTATCATAAAGTTATTGGTGAAAGCTTTTTGGCCAACTTTTCCCACTCAATAGTATTATGCGATATTACAAGCAGTTTATACCGAAAATATTATTTTTATTAATATAATATTTAAGTGAATTTTATACCACATATTAGGGAATGCATCGAATGAGCAATGAATAAATTATTCAAAGTATTTTACATATTCAATGCATTTTATTATAAATCTCTCTCTCTCTCTCTCTCTCTCTCTCTCTCTCTCTCTAAAAAAGTAAGTAAAGATATCATAACTTAAAACGAACTCAAAAAAATAAATCAAATAACAAA